AATAAAATATTCCCGAGTCTCCAAGTCAAAAACATGCCACCCTTTCTTACCAAAAACATAGCCCACAAAATCACATTTTCTGCTTCTACTGAGAAATTTGTCACCCTTTGACCTCATATTGTAGGCATAACATAAACAACCAAAAATACGGAGAGACTTATAGCACGGAGGCAGTGACGGAGCCAGAAAAACGGGTCAGGGGGGTCGAAAATCAACTATGTATAAAATGAAAATGGTACATCGTTTTTAGACAATGTTCGAATTGAATGTTTCATTTGTAGTTTAGATAAATAAGCATTCATAAGCAATAAGATATACTCTCTTTGCTCTGTTTCTGAATCATGTTACGTAACTAATGAATTAATTATACGTTATTCATAAATTTTGGGGAAATAATCAATATTATGCATCAAATTTTGCTGATTTTACGTTTAGATAGTGCTGATTTTCCAGAAGTCATAACTTTTTACTCGTAATGAGTTATGGGGGCCATAATATATCAAATCGAAGGTATTTCAGAGCTCTATACTCTCAAACTTTCAGCGGGGTCGGCTGACCCCCTTGACCCCCCCTTGGCTCCGCCCCTGCACGGAGGCACCCCAAATAAAATCTCGTATGGCGTTTTATAAGAGTGAAGTGCAGAAGGTGTTCGATTAATCAGATAAGCGGCAGTTAATACACACTCACCCCAAAACGAAATCGGTAAGTTCCCCTGAAATCTCAACGCGCGAGCCACATTTAAAATGTGTCTATGCTTATGCCCATTTTGTTGGGGTGTACCAATACATGACGTCTGAAAAACAATTAAACTATGTGCCATTATCACTTCTTACACACAAAAATTTCTTGGAAAATTGTCATTCCACCATAGCGACAAAAGAAAGAAACATTTTAAAAACTTCCTTTTTGTCAAGCAGTAGACAAATCCAAACAGCACAGGAATAATCGTCAACAATCGTCAAAAATTGTTTAGCACCACATGAAGACGGGGTTTTATATGGGCCCCATAAATCACAATGAATCATCTCAAAAATAGCATGAGTTTGATTCAAATTAGTAGGAAAAGAGTCCCTAGTCTGTTTAGCTCTAAAACAAATATCACATGGAGAATTTCTAAGATTCTTCAAACCACTTAGGGGAATTAAATTTCCAACAACTTGATAGGCCGGGTGTCCCAACCTTTGATGCCACAATTCCGCCTCCTTTTCTGATTCTCTAACTGTCAATGCATGCTCAGTTGGTTCCTCCCGCAAGTAGTACAGTCCATTCCGCCGTTCACCCGTTCCAATCAGCCTCCTCGAGACACGGTCCTGTATAATACATAAATTACAAGTGAATTGGATAAAACAGTCAAGTGCATCACTCAATTGGGACACAGAGATAAGATTACTCTCTAGCTCCGGGACAAACAAAACATTTTTTAAATGTAGATTATTTGCGCATCACACACTCCCTTCTAGAGTGGCTAGAACCGTTTGTCCATCGGGGAGACCAACTGTGCATGGGTCAACATTCTTTAAATCACACAACAAAAACCGATTGCCACAGACATGATTTGTAGCTCCAGTATCAATAATCCAAGCATTGTTGTTGAACTTACCAGTCATACGATCATTAGTAGAATGTGTGTTACCGAGCATGGAGAGCAAAGAGGTCCATTGTTTGGGTGTGAAACCTGGCAGTGGAGTGTTCTGCCCGCTTTTGTTCTCCCCAGCATTCTGTCCCTGCTTTGCCACGGCCTCAGCTGCCACCGCGGAATGAGCTTTGTTCATTTGTTTTCCATGAGGTGCGCCTGAATTCCCTGTGAGTCCAAAGCTGCTTGTACGTCCACGGCCTCCCCCTTTATAGCCATGAAGTTCGAAAGAACTAGTTACCTCATGTCCCGTAAATTTGCAATAAGGACAAACTAATCTAGATTTATCCGGCTTCACCCCGCGGCCTGCACTTTTTCCTTCCGCTTTAAGAGCAAATCCCAACACCTCTGGCCGTTCTTCTTGAGCCTGCACGATTCCCCGGATGCGCTCTTCCTGTATCATCTATTGGTACGCCCGATTCAAGGTCAGGAGATCAGTTTGCGTCAATAAGTTTGACCGAACACTGCCAAAGAAATCAGCATAAAGGCCCATCAAAAACTGGTGCAGATGTTCATATTCCCTTCTCTTTTCGTGTTAAGTACATCGCATGTGCAATTGTTACACTTGCACGCAATCAACGGCTCATAGTTGTTCAATTCATCCCATAAATTTTGCAATTTAGCATAATAGCTTCCAATGGTCATTCCCTTTGATTGAACACACCTAGCCAAGTCTGTCTTAACTTGGTGTATCTTCGGACCATCGACTGATCCGAAACTTTCCTTCAGATCGTTCCAGAGCCGTCGTGCGTCTTCGTAGTGCGACAGAGTCGTCCTGACCTCCGGTGAAATTATATTCAGAAGCCAAGATACAACCATGGAGTGGTTTGTGAGCAAGTCCTCCTCGGTATAAGGAGGCGTCGGTTTCGTGAGAGTTCCGTCTACAATGACAAATTTCCGTCTTGCCCGGAGCGCTAACCTCACGGCATTAGACCACTCTTCAAAATTATTATTCGTTAGCCGAACGGAAAGGATGAAATCCCCCGGTCTATCTTGGGGTCCCAAGAAAAGCGGTGAAGTGTAATCCATCTTCGCAGCCGGCGTTGCTCCATCTTCCGTCGTCATCCCTGCGGTCCTTCAATCTGCAGAATACGCACAACATGTCAATGTGAATGCTTTGATACCATATTAATTTCGTATGATACGCAAGATTGAAGAACAATATTTGGAAGAGTAAATTATTCTTGTATTTCCAACGGGCAATCGGCCAACATAAATCAGTTGTTATACCGTGGGAGCAACCCATGGTGAGCATGCTGCTCCCACCTTAAAAATTCGCGTGTTACTGTTCACGCGCATGAACAGTAACTTTTTTTTTGTTTTTTCATTGTCCAGGAGCAAAATGATGTAACTCGCGTATAAAAAATGTAACTCACGCAGATGAAAAATGTAACTGCAGGCAAGTCAAAATGTAACTTGTCTAATACGGATAATAAGAAATAAAATATTGATTTCAATGAAAATAATGAGTGTAATTGCTCAATTATTTTACCTAAATAGTGAATATATTTTGTTTTCAATATTAAGACCATAAAAATGTTGTTTACTTTTTTTTTTTTGCTAAAAATCATTTCTTACAAAAAAGTGATTGTTTTACTAAAAATATCTTATTTTTTGCAAAAAAAAAAAAGAAATTTTCTTTGCAGGGGTTTATTTTGTGATGTAACACATGTTATGACAAATGTAAATTGCGTTGATGAAAAATTTAAGTTAGATGTATGCAAAATGTAATTTGTTAAGACAATCCAAATATAACACACGTATAGGAAGATGTAACTCACGCGTAAAAAAGATGTAACTCACACATAAGAAGATGTAACTTCATATATTGTCACATGTAAACAATGAAAATAAGGAGTCTAATTGCTCAATTAATTAAAGTAAACAATTTATATGTTTTGTTTTTAGTATTAAGGCCATAAAAACTGTTTTAAATGAAAATATTTTTTTGTCAAAAATTCATTTTTTTGCAAACAAGATCTTTTTTGTTTGCAAAAAATTGATTTTTTGTTTCAATAGCAAGAGTTTATTTTGTGATGTAACTCGTGTTATGGAAAATGTAACTCGCATATAGAAATATGTAACACACACATAAGAGGTGTAACCCGTGCATGTGAAGATGTAATTCCATATATGATCAAATTATTCAATCAAGCACTCCAGCCTAGCTGGTTGCGAGGTTACCGTGCCTAGTGGGAGGTCTCGAGTTCGAATCCCGCAAGGCACACAAGGGTTTGAAACTCAATGAAGTGAGTTTCAGCCCTGATTACTCCAGGCTCCCCCCCCCCCCCCCCCCAGCCCCCCTGGAGTAAAAAAAACATGAGTAAAAAAAAGATCAAATCCTTCAAATATAAATAATGAAACAAGGAGTATAATTGCTCAATTAATTATAATTCCCAAGAGATATTTTATGAACATATAAACCACACATATGAAAAGCTAATTTCATATTTTATCAAATTTAAATCAAAATAAACAAATTTAATGTAATGTTTCAAAAAACTAACAACATATAAAAGAGATAAGAAATATATTATAGAAAAAAGTGTGAATATTAAAAATATATTATGAAAGAAATGTATAAATACAAAAAAACATCACATAAAAAATAAATATTATAGACAAATTTAATGTAATGTTTCAAAAAACTAACAACATATAAAAGAGATAAGAAATATATTATAGAAAAAAGTGTGAATATTAAAAATATATTATGAAAGAAATGTATAAATACAAAAAAACATCACATAAAAAATAAATATTATTGTAATTTCTTTTGAAGAAAGAAAATAGAAAGAAGTGTATGACTAATGACTAAGATAGAAAAATAGTAATTAATTTATTTTGAAATGATAAAAATTGGATTAGAAAATTATAATACTCTTAATACGTTCCACTGGTCATGAATTAGAAAAAAAAAACCATTCGAAAATAGTGGACTCAATGATTGTTAGCTTTTGATAAAAAGTAAAAAAAAAACGAAAGAAAGATGGTGGGCTGGGGGAGTAAGAGACCGTGAGACCGTGGTGATCAAAGAAAAACGTCACCGTATTGGGATCGGTGTACCATGAGCATGGTATGCCAATCCCACGGTATAATTTGACGGCATAAATATATAGCGAGAGCCGATCAAAACGGATCGGTAAGATGCATACTAGGAAACAATTACGTAGTATAATGGAAATAATCTTCTACTCAAAATAGAATACTATCCCTAAATAATATTGCTAATATAATATCTCTCTAATAATTGCAAGGAAAATTTTACGGTGCATATGAGTTGAGGGATGTTGCCGTGCATACCACACTTGGCAGCATATTATTGGTAATTTAATCCAACTCGGTTTTTATAATAAAAGTACGTTATATTGCACACAAGTCCTTCCTCAATCAACCCAGGTGACATGTCTGGGACTTGCGAGACGAAGAAACCCAGGGGAAGGGCTAGCAAATCGACGGCTAGGTCTTTGGGAGGTGAAGAAACCATGAAAAGGGCCAGAGAAACGACGGATGGGTCTCTAGGAGGCGAAGAAACCAGGGGAAAACGACGCTGGGTCTCTGGGAGGCGAAGAAACCAGAGAATCGAAAATCCGTCGTCTTCATCCAAAATCAGGGAAACCGAGTTTGCACTTCGTGGCAGCGGCTCAATCCAAGGCAGGTGTCATCGTCTCTATTTTTTTTCACTTTTCACACATTATGATCGAAATCGTATGTTGAACTTATTACCACTAATTTGATTTGCATTTTGGATTGTGAATTGGTTCAATGTGAATTTAGTTTAGCTAAATATTGTTTTTTTTGTAAATCCTGGTTTTAATCTGCACCCTGTCGTGATCTTCTTCTTCATCTTGAAACAAAAGTGGTGAAGTGTGTTTAGCTTGTACGTTGTATACTATGAAATTTATAAAATTTAGTCAATTATTTATAGGTTAAAGTTGTTTGGATGGGAGATGGTTATGACTTATGAATGTAGTGAAATACCTAATCAGGGCTTCAACAAGGTCTAAATCTCCAGCTTTCTTTAGATTATAGGGGGACTTCCTGGATACTTCTTAATTTATATCGCAGCAAGTATTGGTTTTTTCATGACTCAATTATAGGATTAGTTTTTTTCCATATTTTAAATTACGATCGCTCTTATTTTCAGCTTGTTATATTTGCCAAACTGAAAAGCAAGCAGTAGGAGTGTTTCCTTGAATCCAACTTCATCCTCTTTTATAGGTGAACACAACACTAGAGTCTAGACTATTCTTAAGTTTGGGACATGATAAATTTGTTTTGTAGATCAGAACAGCTAATCAAAAGTTAATTATATTTTTTATGGGAAGAGATTTATATGTTTGATGGAGGGAAAAAATTCCCGCAATCACCTTAGAGTAGAATGGTGCAGTGCTCCCAAATTTGTAAATCACATCAATAATAAGGTAAATCATCTTTTAGACACTAAAGTGATTGTGGAGCCCTTGCTTTCTTTTTCTACTAAAATTACTGGTATTTGAAGTTGCATTGTCAAGTTTGAGTCTGCTAGTGCAAAACTGCTCAAGGATCAATGCTTTGCTTCTACAGTTTATTTTATTTTCTTTCTTTGTATTTCGATCTTTAAAAATGATGGTCTGGCGAATCAAATTTGAATATGTAAATAAACCAACCATTTTTAGGCAAAAAAGTATAAACCAACCATAGCTTCTCTCTCGGTGAGTATTAAGACACTAATTTAATCTTTTATTCTGATAATCAATCCATGTAGCCTTAATTACACGAGCTAAGCTTTCTGTTAGTGTCCTTCAATCACTTCACGTCATTTATTCCCCTCTATTTGGTTGGAGCTCTCTGCTGCAGTAGGAATTCGGTCACATTGTCATACTTTTGCTTTATAATATAAGCTTTCAAACTATCTGTGTGTGGCATGTGTTAGAACCTAAAAAAAGTGGATTCAAAGGGCTTTCAACTGCACAACGCGCTAGTTTGATCTGTTTTTAACTGTCAGGGAAGAAGGTCACTAATCTTGAAGTTTCTAAGAAACAAATGGGTAGCTCAAGCTTCATAAAATCATCCAACTTCTATACTACCTTCTCCAATTCTCTTTCATCAAATAGAAAAGATGATAGAGAATTAGTTCTACAAACAATTCTCTTGAAAATGTATTCATTCTTTCTAAAGGTATGAATACATTTTCCAATGTTTCCATTTACAAATTAGTGAAATTACCTTTAGAAGTTCTAAAGGTAATTTGTAGAGACTAGTAAATTCTCTTGATTTTAACTAGAAGTTCTAAATGTAATTTGTAATGTTTAATTATGATAGTCTTAAAGACAAAAGCCTTATTATATTCTTCTTTACTATAACCAACTAGCCTTAATATTTAATTATTTAGATAGTCTTAAAATTAGAAGCCTTAATTTTATTTCACGGGTACGATACAAAACTCTAATGAAGTGAAACAAATTGTAAGCAAATAGTATAATTGTGGATTTTTGTTGTGGATTTTTACTTTTTGTTGTGTTGTCTATTTGCCTTTTTGGGAGGTTTTGGTATAGTCCCCCTCTCTTTGTAATCCAATTTTTTTAATCAAATAAAAAAAATATAGGGAAAAAAAGTATAATTGTGGATACATGTGTAGAGAAGTAGCACACAAGAAGTTAAGGTCTTTGGGTCAGGTGTCTTTAGTATGCAAATTAGAGATAGATTAAGTGATCTATTTTATTCTTTAAGTTGTAAATGTTGGACTAAAGCCTCTAAAACTTTAAAGTACTTTTAATATTTTAATACTTGCACCAATAAAAATGAACCATATAACATTACAAATTTTTCTCTATTCTACTAGCTTCTCCGTATTAGTTAATTTTGGATTTTAAATGACTACTATGTATATGGTTATAAAATCATTTGTTTCTATATAGCTTTTATCTTCCCTTTATTTTCAAACATCTTCCTTTCTATATTGTTTATTTTTTTCAAGGGAAATCTTTATTATCAATTTTATGGGAAGAATATGTATGGGACAAGGTTCATTGTCATTTTTATGGGAAGAGTTTCACTTAAACCACAGGGCTATAAATATATACTCCCTCCGTCCCTTATAAGTTTGCCAACTTTCCTTTTTTGGACGTCCCACTAACTTTGCCACTTTCCTTTTAAGTAAAGAATTTGTGGTTCCAGTTAATTCTCTCTCCTCTGCACAAACCTCAACCACACAGTTTTTACTTTATTAATCCCCGTGCCGATCAAACTTGGCAAAGTATTGAGGGACGGAGGGAGTATTTATATATTGACTTGCAGATTTCTCTATGTACTCTATTCCCTATATATTTATTAACTCTATAGTTATAATCTTCCCTATTTATATTCAGTGATTCCGCTGCTGCCTTAATCCGCAAGGCAACAAATTATAAATGGATGCTTTATCTGCTAATAGAATTTCAAAAATAGGAAAGGTCTAATCCTAAATTTTGCTTCTATGTTGTTTATTGTGTATAGGTTGGAAATTTGGCAGGTCTTCAAAGCTGGGATTAGGTCCTCAGTGAGAGCATGGGTGCATTTCAAGTATTCTCGAGATGTCACGTGGTTTCCTTTGATGTCATGGACCCCTATCCTTTCACTGTACTGTGCTGCTTTTGGATGGTTAGCCTTGAAGGTTAGCACGAATGAGAGTTTGCCGATTGTAGAGGTGCTAATACTCGAGGACGTAATTGGCTTAGAAGAGTTCGCAGTAGCCTAGTTTCTTGCTTCTTAGATGGTTTTTGATGTATATTTTACTTGAGTCTCTTTAGATATTTAGATATGATGTAAATTACTGTTCATTCATTTATTTTGGAGTTATTGACCGAATTGTTAAGTTTTACAAAATGTGTAACTGTGGATACTTTTCACTCTACAATTTCCATCCATTTAAGGAGCTTGGAGCTTACCTGTAGCAATTTCATCGAGGTGCGATATGCTTAAATGAGTTCAAAGCTTCCCCAAGCTTTTTTAAGTGCTCAGGCTTTCATTTTTTTGCTTGATCAGATTACCAGACAGTTTTCATTCGTCACTAAGTTTTACAAGAAGTTTTAGATGATATATGGGTGTTTCTGAAAGTGACGAGTTGTATCTCTGATCTCGTAACCCGAAAATATAGAGAAGGGTGATGAGCAATACAATTACTCAAGAATATGACCTATAGAATTGGAGGAAGAAGAAAAATGGAAGTGGAAAATGGAGTTGAAGTCTTGAAGACGACATATGCTGTTGGAGCTTATCAGTAATGTCACCCAATACTGGGTGAATCTTATCCATTGTCATCTACATAACATTTTTTATCATTTATCAGTGAATTATATCATTTTAAGACAATTTTAAATTCGTTGATATGATGTTTTTTTTGCAATTTGTTATTCATATTAGATATGATGTCGCATTGCTAATAAACCTCTGGCTTCCCTTTTCACCTTCTTTTTTCCATTGACCCAACGTGAATAGAAATCCATTGTTTATTCACCTTCATACTGATCTCCCTATCTGATCCAATACTTCCAAGGGAAAATATATCAACACGTCAGAAGACATTGGGAATTTTTTAGATATAGGATTGTAACTTCAAAAAAACGTGCAACTAGTGTCGGTTATAACTGACGTAAGGTTCCTCCATGACGGTCTTATGAACCCTCAGCAACAGCTTCGTGGGGAATGTTTTCACGTCGGTTTTACTAACCGTCAAAACAACCGTCGCTAAACACAAATGGATTTACCAACAGTTCTAACTTCCAAGGGACACCAATTGTTGAAGGCAAATGAAGGTGAAAATGTATGGTTTACTATAACGTCGGTTAGAAAATGTATGGTTTACTATAACGTCGGTTATAATCGACGCTGTGTACGTGGAGAAAATTTTAAATTAGCATTACCCATGCTAGATGTAATAAATAAAAATGAAAATATTTAATTCTTATTATTAGCTATTTATAATTGACCTGCTTTGAAATTTTACTACAAGTCCTAAAAAGCTGAATGTCACGTAATGAAATACTTCAGGTACAACTTGAAATTTTACTAAAATATCTTTAATGTTGTAACACAGATTCTACAAAGACATCACCCAAACATGAAATACAAGTAGCTGAGAAGTACTGCAAAGAGATATTATGTTAACGACTTGCAACAAGCCTCAGAAATAACAAGTTTAATACATTCATAATTCGTTGTAGACACGATACTAATAGTAACCCCACAAAGATGATGACTTGGTTCTGGAGGTCTTGTAGGATCAACTTGTACCTATGTCCTGGAAGTAAAACACGAAACTTCACGTTACCTTTGAGTAATTTTATTTGCAGGAGTAATTCATTTTAAAGTGTAAAGTGCTGATTATTTCTTGGAAGAGAACAACATAAAATGGACAGACCCACAAGTCTGTCTTAGATTGAGCACTTTATACATATATAGTCATATAGATGACCATTCATCTCCAAATTCAAACCAAAGCAAAGCAAAGCAAGATAATAAAACGTTTTTTTATTCTGGTACATCTTTAAAATCCAACATGTTGTAAATAGACAACTGGTTTCATTTTAAGAGTCTTTCTAAAATACAAAACAAAAATATATAGTCAAAACTGTCTTTCAAACAACAAAACTGAATTCATATCATGGATTTGAAACCAATAAGCTTTAAAACAAAAGAGGAAGAATTCAAGATGAAACAACAGATTGGAGTCCTAAACCAGATAAACTTACCTCCCGGTGAAAGTTTCAACTGTACTATGAAGAAGGAAGTGCCGTAGAAACTGACTGGGCAGAGTATAGTGTTCCATGATGATGAAGACCTGCACCGAATTATTTTCCTCAGGATAAAGAAGGCTGAGTTTGGAATGAATGGAAAAATATACTCTTAGTTGTAATCATTTCTCTTCTTTCAATGTCATAAAATTCATTTATACACATCATTTTTCTTCATTAAGTTACTTTGCTTCTGTGATCAACCTACATCCCTTATATAGTTATATCAATATGAGTCCACAAAGAGTTCCATCGGAGATATAATAATTCCAGTGATGAATTTGATTAAGAAAAGGAAATGTTGCAATTTCGTTGTATTTGATTCGATGGCCTTCTTCATTAACTCACTGCTACAAAAGAAAGAGAGAGAATCATGTTAGTTTAAGTTTCATTATGAAAGTCCAAAAAGAAAACAACAAGAAAGCTGAAATGTATTACTCCACTATCTCCTGGGCATCAAGCTATAAGTACATCAATTTTCCATGATTAACCTAATATTAACGCTTATCGTTTAGCTTATTGGCAAATCAGGAACAACCAAGTTAATCTCCGTTTTTATTTGTAAACACTGCTTGATCAATTCCTGGATCCTAATCCAGCAAATGAGGAATATAAATATGGTTCAGAATCATCTTGCGGTAGGCTTTGAGTAAATATGTGCAGTTCTCCAACCGGCTTTAGTGCTTGTCTACGGGGTTGATTTTCTTATGCTTGTTTGATCCTCACTGTCTGATCTTGATTTGACAATTGTGATTTAGATGAGCACAAACATAGAAGAGCTTGAGATCCACTCTAGCATGACCACTTAGCAGAATGATTAATTTAAAATCTTAAAAGTAAATGTATTTACATATATGATATATTTGTGATGGCTTAAAATGCCCCACAAAATTGTAACTCGTTTACATATATGATATATTTGTGATGACTTAAAATACCCCACAAAATTGTAACTCGTTAGAGCGTACTAATCATAAAGTTTGTATGCTCGCTATTGAAACATATCAAGTAATTAGTAAATATCATCATTTTCTCCAACACAAGTAGTTTCATATTAACTGTACTCGATCTTCAAAAATATTAACAGGTCTATAAGCATGTAGATGGAACTTAAAAGTCAATCTATTTGGCATTCATTCATAATATAGGGAGGTAATTAATAATATGCACTCACAATGATATCCAAATAATCAAGTTTGATCAACAAAATCACATACTCCGTATTATAAAATACAAATGATATTCCTTGCCAGTTGCAATTCGAACGGGTGAAATATGCAGAAAGTTACAAAATGGTGTCCTATCTTTTATGCGAATAAAGAAAAAACAAGTGTTTCATACTTAACGCATCAACTGTTTTCTCAATGGAGCAACTGTATTTTAAATCTAGTAAAATATATATTCAACAACCAACCTGTAATTGAGATACGTGTTGTACATGGTTGCTCTGTTCTAATGCATTCTTTTATCTGAGACACAAAAGTAAACAAAACTATGTATTTTCTCATTTCAACAACTACTCTAATGATATTTTGAATGATTACCCCATATTGTAATAAACAACTAGATCAGAGCAATTGAAACATTTTTAGGGAAAAAAGGCACATAGATCAATAGTTGTGTTCCAAAACATCATCTTTATGACTAATATTTATGAAGAACAAGCAACAAAGTAGACCTGCAAATGAAATTTACTAGAAAATATGTAGATCATAATCAAACCCTCAAGCTTATTTAAATAACCATTTGAGAAACGTTGAAACTTTATATGCACCTTTCATTCTTAAGAAGGCCTCACTTGCAAAAAATGAATAAGCTAGTATCCCATAATTTAATAAACTAGTTTGTATCGCACGCTCCTCATGTAGGGCTTCAAGGTTTTCTGTAACGAATCTCTGCTTAGTTTGTGGACCTTGAAATACCCTCCAATTCTTACCAATCACCTCCTCCTTCGAATAATAAAACAGTTTCAACAACGCACTAGAAGCATATATACACAATTGGATGACCAGAAATAGAGGGATCATTTATGGTAGAACAGTCGGGCAAGCTATCAAGAGCATCTTTAACTAGACTTGAGTATCCAACATTAAAGGATTGCTCAATTAAACCAACTTGTGATTCCATCTGAACTCTACTCTTTTTTATCTTAGACTGAGTCTTTATCATTAACAATTAATACTGATCCCACGTTGTCACTCTCAGCTATTTGAGCTGCTTCTCAAACCCTCATGCTTCATCCCACGTATACACATTTAGTCATTTAGAAGAACTAATCAGTAACCACAAAACCTGCGGATAGGACACATCGAAAGAAATTGTTTTTTCCACGTTAATTCAAATAAACTCAAATGTCACACTGAATATCTGAGTTGATCCTAATTCTTACGTATTTTATGACGGTGTGAGGGTTGAAGAATGAAGAGAACAGAACCAAATTTTCTTGGCACAAAAATATCTTAAGGGTATGATTTACGTCGATGAATTAATAGAGTACAGATTGGTTAAGAAATTGAGTTAGAGATAGAACTTGAGGTTCCCAAGTTGCAGAATCACAGCCACATCATATCTTTAGCAACATTTTAGCGTTGGAGGTTGTCGCCTGATATTGGAACACGGGTGGCCGGACTGTTCCAGTGAGCATACTACCTAAGCGCCTTGGGCTCAAAGCTTGGTTCCATTGACATCGATTTGAAGATCTCGGTTCCTTTTCACTGGAGTTTGTTCGAATAACCTGGAAGAAGAAAATATGTACTACAGTATGTAAGATATCGACTATATGAATGGCTTAGACTGGAATTTTTAAGTTGAGCAAGGTTCACTCTGCAAAGTTTTAATTTTTTAATGAGATGGAATGTTCTTCCAATGATATTCTGCCACACGTATGATCCACCAAAACGTTCCACAAAGAGAACGCACGGGAGAGCTATCCTAATTGCAATACAATATTTGCAGTTTGCAAATCGGTCCGTAGTTCATTTGCAGTTACCGAAAAGTTTTAGGAATTCACATTGGATTTTCTAAACGGAAATGAACAAAAATATATGAATTCTGTAATAATATACTACGTAGTACTTATTAATTTTGAGTTATCGACCGGTTAACTGGCAGTATTTAGGTAATTAGGTTCATAACCGTTACCCTACCGTTAATAGCATTTCTATCGGTTGGTTAACCGTCCCGCTAGATTTTAAAAACACGGTATAGTTAATCAAAAATAGTACCGAATTTGCAGTTATTTACCACGGTTAGTCGGTTACGGTTTTTATTTCCCACCCCTATGTCCGTTAATAATACTACTAGTTACATTTACAGAAATTGTTTATTTAAAAAAAGGATGACACCCCATCCCTGAGGGCACGATGAGAGGATGTAAATTGGACTATAATCACAATCTGACAGATAGAGAGTGGGGCCCTGTCTCCGATACTTAAAGAGGCCCTATGCATTTTTCAGCATAGTAACCCCTCATCGTAGTTGCCGGGATTCGAACCCGAGACCTAATCAAAAATTGTTTATTTAGACTTGACAAGAAGTCTTTTGGACTGAAACAAAATCCGCGCACTTAAACCTTTCAACTCCGGGACCACATCACTACCAAAAAGTTCAGGCAGCATGAATTTCTGGAAGCCCAAATCCCCGCCGTCACCGTCTCCGCCACTCACCAATTCACCTTCAACGCCACCCTTTCACCTCCTCCTCCACCAAGCCTTCACCTCTCTCCAGACCAACGTCTTTAATTTCCTCCAAAATGCCCTTCCTCGCCCTCCTTCTCCTCCTCCTAACAAATCCCCGGCATGGGCTCGTCTTTCCAACTCCGGTAGCAGCCTCAACGGAGGCGCCTCTGGTTCTCCCGCTGGAATGGGCGGCGGTGGTCGGAGTAGTGAGGGAGTCGGTGCTACGCCTACGATAGCATTTGAGGAGCGATTTACGGGAGTTCCAGTCTACGCCCTCAGCAATCGTAGTCAAGAATTCGTTTTAGTTTCTGCGGGGAATAGCAAAGCAAGTCTCGGTTTGTTTTGCTTTGGTGAAGCGGATGCCAAAGCTCTCCTTCACCAAATGGAGTGCATGGATCCTTCTTTGCACAATAGTTATCAAGTGGTACCCGTGGCACTCAAAGAGGTACCTAATTTCGAAAGTTGATTCCTTTATCTTTGGTTAGGTTTACTTATATCTTCACAGTGCTGGTCTTCAGTTACAAACTGGGATATAATAATATTCATATTTGATGTACTCCCTCCGTCCCATTTTAGTTAGCCAATCTTGACGTTTCCGGTCAAAGGTGGTAAACTTTGAGCAATTATTTGAACTAATATATTTATGTAAAAAATAAAAATATTATACTTTTATGATAGTATTTTCAACAAAGAACATTTTCATATAATTTTCATATTATTAATATTTTATCTATATAAATATATAAGCGGTCAAAGTTAGGTGCCATTGACTTGGAAAATCATGTTTGGCTAAGTAAATTGGGACGGAGGGAGTATGATATAGTGAATAGTGATTATATAATGATTTAGTTTGTAAAATTGTAGTTGCTTGTGTACGAATATACGTATCTTTGAAATGTATGCTTGAAGTTCTATTCATACGTATCACCTGCACATTGATGGTAATGCAGGTGATCCAGCTTAAAGTAGATGGGATGGCTTTTAGGTTGATTCCCGAGGCATCCCAAGTAACGAATGCAATTAAGGTAAAACTGCAATGTGCTTTACCCCAGATGTCTCTTATATGGACTATCTTGATTTAAAATTTAGTTACATAAAATTATTTCTAAACAGGAAAATTAGGATGGTACTAAATGACTGAAGAAATATGGTTTATATAACCATTGACTTTGTTAATAAACCACACTCACCTCCTCTGGACTCTGGTCTTTTTGCTTTGTAACTACTTGGTGTGAATATTTGATAGAACATTAGAACCCTACTCTGCTTTGAACTGTACATTATTATTGATCTGGTTTTAACACCTTTAAATGTAGAAAGGAATAACTGCATAATGTTGACTATCCTATCTAATCATGATATATTATCTGAAACGTAGTTGATTCACTCAATTGTTTCTAATGTTAGCATTCCTCTGAAGTTGGCATGAAGTGAAACAGACAACTGCATTTTCATAGTTCAACTTCTAAAATTGTAGTGGTAATATACTTGTCAGATAGTTGTTCTTTGTGGTAAAAATTCAGTGTCTTTCCAGATTATTGTCTTACTAACTCGAATAGATGCTTGGCATGCAATAATGATCTGTTTTTTAATAGGAGCGTCAAAGAAGTGGTATATCTGATAATACGTTTACTGGGGTTCCAGTTTTCCAGGCATGTTTCCTAATCCTTCTCTTGGAATTGATATTGATGAGCTGAAATGAATAACTTCTTTGAGTTACTAATTATTTGTTTCCTGGTATATTTCTCCAATGTTGAGTGAAATCTATACTTTATCACAAAAAATTGCTCATAAGGATTTAGGTAGTACAGTATATCATATATAGTGTAGTGCGTATTTATTTAGTTCAACTTCTATGCAGTTGATTTTTGTTCAAACATGCTATGCCTTTTGGAGTTTGGATATACTGTATTTTATATTCAGTCTGGAATTAGATGTATTGAAATTTGACCCAAATTTGATTTCTCTTCCGTTGATGTAGGGCCTTATTTTACTCTTTTTTGCATGTTTTCCACTTTTCCTTAGACAACAGGTTATTGTAGTAGGTTATATGATATAGAATAGTTATCAAGAACTCGTGGTGCCCCAAGGTCCACCAATGCTCCAGCGCTCTGAGATGTGAACCATACTTGAGCCACATGTCCCTTGCACGTGAGGTGAAATCAATGAAATATATTAATACATTTCATATGAATATGCCAAACACATGCGAAAGAGTATCGACATCCACAATAAATCTTAAAGTATTATATAATTTAGTTATATGCAACAACATCCAAGCCCTAGTTCACAAGAGTTTGGGGTCTGGCAGTCGGCTACATGAATTGATATATGAAATCGAACTTCAGACGGACAACTATAATGTATATTTTAGATTAGTTTTAACATTCTGTTAAGGAGTTCCTATCAATAAAGTTTATCTGCCTAGTCTGCTCTTACAGGAGTTTTTTTAAAGGCTATCATTTTCAAGTATAATTTTTCAATGCAATTTTCAAGATGGATTGACCATATTAAGCAGACACAGTGATACAGACTTTCTTTCTTGACCGAGCCTTCTTCAGGATTCTTTATCACAGAATCCCTTTAGAAGAGGAATTCACTTAAATATCTTTTAACAAAGTAGATTATTACATTGGATTCTCAGGGAGACAATGGACAGCAAGCAATCATCCCACTATGGGCCTCTTCTTCTTACGAGTTATGACTTCTCTTTCCTAGCCGTTTTTGTATTTGCGAATGCGATGCAACTTTTTTTGACTCTTCTGGAAAGAGAGACTGCAGCAGACTTATCTATTAAAAATCGGTTCACATATTTAAAAGAGAACTGCAGCCAACTGCTAAACAATGTTCCTGCTGAAAGGTTCTACTAGTAGTAAAGGTGTTGTGCCAAAGACCATAAACTTGTATATGAACTATCAGGCTAAGAATTCCATTTTGCATTGTTCTATTAACCAGTATCCCCGAATAGTAAAAACTGTGATGTTGAGATTTGTGCAGAGGAGAGAGAAATGTGCAGAACCACAAATTAGTTGCTTTATAAAAAAAGTGGCAAAGTTTTTTGGGACAACCAAAAAGGAAAAGTTGGCAAAGTCCAATGGGACGGAGGGAGTATGTGTTTTCAATGTGTGGGGTTCTTGAGTCACAAACTAGACATGTAGTTTTATTTTCCCCCCTTTTTTATTTTTCGATTTCACTGGGTTGAGAATAAGCATTTAATGTTATTTAGATAACTGATGTTACTCCTCTAGCCGGATTGGGTATCCTAAAGGCATTAATGCTCTCACTGTTAGATCCCTGGTGCCCAGATAGCTTGCACTTGGTTGTTCATCTTCTACTAATTTAATAAGAGCTGCTCATTAAATTGTGCTTGGTAACATATCACAACACTCTGCTAAAAGTATGGTCTTTGGAGAACCACCAAAACTTGAAACACCTCAAGGTTACACTAACCTTAATCAATGAGTTGAAAGACTCGGAACACTAAAAATGTTATCCAAAGGCAGTGAATTGAAATGTAGATGCTCAAGGATTGCTGTTAAATGAACTACTAGCTACAATATGTCAAGATGGTTCTGATGGAAAACGTTTAATGAATTTATATTTTAGTAACTGAGCCAAGATTCACGAGGTTATAGCGTTATGAAGCTGGGTGATGTTGATACATCAACTATTCAAGTCATGACTCATGAACTTCTCCAACCAATATGGCAGAGTTTCTGGCTTAGTTTTACAAATTTTGCATATTATGTTCTATTAATGTGTTTCTAATTGCCATTATATTACTGTGTATTAATGTGTATTAATACGTGATTAATGTGTCTATTAAATGTGTTTCTAATGTCTATTAATGTGTTTCTAATTGCCATTATATTACTGATTGCAGTCAGAAAGCTTAGTCTTGAGGGGAGAAAACACAAGATATCGTCCACTTTTCTTTAGAAAGGTTAGTTGACTTTGTCAAGTATATTGCTTATAAGATGCAATTTTTACTTTTTTGTGATTTATGTAGGAGGATCTTGAGAAGTTTCTTTCTAGAGCTTCCAAGGAGCAGAATGTATTCAATCCTGCATTGAAGGGAGATATTCAGGTTCTACTTCGTATTTATTATCAACTTAATATTAGCCCCAATAATGTATTCATCCCAATTTTGTTGTGTGGATGTGCTAGGTTGCTGCTCTTGAGGATATAATACAAGGGATGAAGGTTAGGGATCAAACTCTTTTATAATATCGTTATCAATTTACACTTTCTTTTGAGATAAGGCCAAGTTCTGAGATATAATCTTAGGATCTTTCTGTATTATGATATCTTTCTTGTTGTGGTTGTCTATCAAACAAGTACTTCTATCACTTCTTTAGAAGTGTCCGTGCTGGTAGCTGATACTCTATATTCATATAAATGAACTTTTTACAGGACAGCTCAATATCAACATGGAATGATGTTGTTTTCATCCCTCCTGGTTTTGACGTTTCCACCACTTCTCCCCCAAGGTAACCTGACCTTTGCCTGCGCTCCGTTTTGGCACCTCTTGGAAAGAAGTCAAGAACACAGTCATCTTTTACGTTGAAGTAGGACAACTACTAGTTTAGTAGCAGTGTTTCCTATCTCTGCTCTTCACATAGAGTATCATTTTTATCTTCTCAAATCTCAAATTGGTTTGACATTTGTAAAGTAATTATGTTGGTAAGTTCATATATGTCAATGAGATTATTGATTTTGATGAATGATAGTGAAATGTCGCTGCAAATTGATGGTTACTGTTGCTTGTTTCTTGGGCCATTGGGCGTGTTCAATGGCACCTACCAAAGTGATGCAAAGTGATGTATGAGGCTTTAGAAAATGAGAACCATACCCTAATCCAATTTCAGGCCAAAACAATCGTCTAAAAAAATTGGATGGATCGGAACGGCCAAACCGGGACCATATCCAACAATACAAAAAAGATATTTGGCATTTGAACTAAAAAAAAGATCACTTTACATTAAAACATCTTACAACGGAACCGAATACTCAAGTCTTTGTGATGAAAAACTCAAAAGTCAAAATGAGACAAACTTTTTGGGTATTATTTTTTGCCCAGCTCCACGCACGCCTTCCCCTCCAAACCTTCATTTAAGGTCCATCAAGTATCTTTTGTTTGTTTGAAAAATCAAGATCAAATAATGTTTTAATAAAAACGGAGTAGCAAATTCAAACCAACATAACTTGATTTCAATTTGGTATTGACCCCCATCCAACCCGTTATAAAATAAACCTAACAAAAAACTACACTGAACCTGAAGTGCATATTAAGTATTAACTACCTGTAGCATAGGTAGAAGGGCCAACCTTGGGCAGGCCTACATTTTATACTGACTCTTTGTTAAGCGGCACAATAATCAAGAACATGAATATATATGAAAGCTGCCAATTCTAAAACTAATTCTTTAGACTACCCATTTATATAGATTTATGTCATACAAAAAAATAGAGCTCGAACCACTGCAAGATGACTTATAGAAAGCGTGGACTCTCAGTATTTTAATGTTAAAGCACGAATCGAACAAGGTAACAGAGAACACAGAGGGAAAATTAAAAGCCACTCCGGTAGAACGCGTCGCGCCTACGCGGCGGCGCCCACTCGCTCTCCGCCAGTCCAACGCTCCCTGCTGCCTGCATCTGCCCGCCTACTCGCCCAGCTAACTGGCTAACCGCTCCGCCCTCTCTGGCCACTCGCTAGCGTGGCATCGGCACTGTTAGTCCGGCGGTCTCAGGATTTCAGGTCGGTTATCCCTACTGCCGTAGAAAATTTGAAAGACGGGGCGGACTTGAAGTGAACTCAAGCATGGCTTTGAGACAGTTGTGTGGATTTTCTGATGGGGAGGTGATGAGATCAGATTGTAAGCCATGTTCCAGATTGATGAGACATACTGCTGGAATCTTCTCATTTGGAGGAGCATTAGGCTTTTGGGTGTTGTGTCGTTTGCACTACGGTCCAAGAATCAATGTTCCCCGAAGTCTTAGATGGGCAGCGTGTGGAGCAGTCTCTATGAGTTGTACCACTGCATTTCTGGTTCGCCTATTCAGCCCAGAATGTGAACCCCAAAACATATCTGCTTATGACAAGAAGGGATAATACCGTTTGTTAACATATCTGCTTATATGGTTTGCAAGCTTTGATGATTCGTTATTGTGTGATGTCCTGCTTGAGTGATTTGTGATTAGACACTTTTAGTCATGGCTCTTATGAAATATCATCATTCACATTGTTTTAATTACTAATCTTGTATAGTCAAAAAAAAAAAAAAAAAAAAAAAAAAAAAAAAAAAAAAAAAAAAAAAAAAAAAAAAAAAAAAAAAAAAAAAAAAAAATGTTAAAGCACGAATCATCATCCCTGCACCAGATTGTTGAGTTGAGAGAACAAATGACGAAAATTACCGAGATTTACTCATAAGGCATGAGCACATAACCATTATGAGGTTATTATGGTTATTTTCACTGTAATTACATCTAATAGTTGTTAATTTTCACGATTAGGCTAAGATAAACGATAAATTTAAAGCAAGAACACAAGAATTTACGTGGTTCACGCAATCGGAGTGATTACGCTAGTCCACGGCGAACGAGAGAGAGATGTATTATTATTTCAACGTCTGGTGTGTTTACAGATACATTAGGGATGTTTAAATAGGTTTAAGAAAGCCTAAACAAGGGTTAAGGCCGCAGGCCCAAAAATTAATCCCGTCATTAATTTTTCCCGTATACTCGATCGAGTATACATACATACTCGATCGAGTATAGATTCCAGAATTCTGCCCGAGTAGTGTTTTTACACATACTCGACCGAGTATACCTCCATACTCGATCGAGTATAAACTCCAGAATATAACCCGAGTAACCCTTACACGCATACTCGACCGAGTAATAATCAATACTCGATCGAGTGTAGAAACCAGGGAAATACTCGACCCATCAAACACCTCATACCCGATCGAGTAACCCAACATACCCGATCGGGTATATACTCCTGCATTCCAAACAAGGCTCCATCTTCAACAATCTCCCACAGTCCCACTTGGAGGCTTGTTCAACAGTCATCTGCCATCCAAGAACATGTATCCTCTGCAACACCCCTGATCTCTATCTCTCATTCACACCTTCCCATCAAGTATCTGGAAGGCCAGTTGAAGCCATGCATAGCTTCAACTTCTCCGTTGTCACCACCTTGGTAAGCATGTCTGCTGGATTCTTCGTACCAAGGATCTTTTTCAAGTTTATGATACCGTCTTCAATCAACTCTCGGATAAAATGGTATCGCATCTTGATGTGTTTCGTTCTGCTATGAAACACTGGATTCTTCGCGAGGTGAATAGCACTCTGGTTGTCACAGTGCAGTCCGCAATCCCCCTGTTCCATGCCCAACTCCGAAAGAAAGTTCTTCAACCAAATCAACTCTTTGGCCGCTTCAGCAATGGCCATATACTCTGCTTCTGTGGTCGAAAGAGCCACACTCTTTTGAAGTCTGGACATCCAACTGATCGCCGTGCCTCCAATTGTGAATATGTAACCCGTAGTGCTCTTCCCGGAATCACAACAGCCCCCCAAATCAGCATCAGCAAATCCTTCTAGAATTACTCCATTCCTTCTGAAACAAAGACCAGTTCCAGAAGTGCCTTTCAAGTAGCGTAGCAGCCACTTGACTCCTTCCCAATGTTCCTTCCCTGGATTCGACATGAACCTGCTAACAACTCCCACTGCATGAGCAATGTCCGGCCTTGTTGACACCATTGCGTACATCAAGCTGCCAACGGCTGATGCATAAGGAACTTTAGCCATCTCATCTTTGTCTTCATTGGTCTTTGGAGACTGCTGCTTGGAGAGTTTCAGCTGACTCCCTAAAGGTGTACTCCTTGGCTTGGCATCCGTCATTCTGAACTTCTCAAGGACTTTCTGAATGTACTTCTGCTGTGAAAGCTTTAAAGTACCTTCCACCTTGTCTCTGACTATGCTCATCCCAAGAATCTGTCTCGCCTCCCCTAAATCCTTCATCTCAAATTCTTCGGACAACTTCTTCTTGAGCTTGTTGATCTCCTGCATGTTTGATCCAGCCACCAACATGTCATCAACATACAAAAGAAGAATAATGTATGATGACTCGAATTTCTTCAAGTAACAGCAATGGTCCATCTTGCATCTAGTGTACCCATTCCGCTGCATAAAACTATCAAACTTCAAGTACCACTGTCTAGGAGCTTGCTTCAGTCCGTATAGACTCTTCTTGAGTTTGCACACCAACTTCTCCTTACCACTTACTGAGAAACCTACCGGTTGAGCCATGTAAATGTCTTCTTCAAGGTTGCCATGAAGAAAAGCAGTCTTCACATCCAGCTGCTCCAAGTGTAAATTTTCAGCTGCAACGATACCAAGAATCAACCTGATAGTGGTCATCTTCACAACCGGGGAGAAGATTTCATTGTAGTCAACCCCCTTCTTCTGTTGGAACCCCTTGACAACTAGCCTGGCCTTGTATCTTTTGCTCCCTCTGCTTCATCTTTGATTCTGAAAACCCACTTGTTCTCCAATGCTTTCTTTCCCGGTGGTAACTTGACTAAGGACCAAGTTTGGTTCTTGTCAAGTGAATCTAACTCATCTTCCATGGCCTTCTTCCACTGTATGGAATCTCTCACAGCCAACGCCTCTGAGTAAGATTCTGGCTCTCCATTCTCGGTCAGCAATAGATAATTTGCTGAAGGAGAATACCTGTTAGGAGGTCTCCTGATTCTGGTGGACTGTCTGATGTGTGGAGTAGCTGCCTCTGAACTCCCACTGTCTTCATCACTCCCACTATCTTCAGACATTCCTGTATCTCCTGAGCTCCCACTGCTCCCTGAGCCTCCAGCCGTCTCATCACAACCGACCGGTTGTGCTATGTCATCTTCAGTCATCCCTTCAAACACCACTTGCTGTTTGTTTTCTGGTTGCTTGCCTTTGCTTGTTCCTGCTGCAAGACCATCTTTATAAAGGGCATTCTCGTTGAAGGTGACATCTCTACTTCTGATAACCTTCTTGCTTTGGTTGTCCCAGAACCTGTAGCCCATGTCATCCGACCCGTACCCAATAAAGATACACTTCTTTGCCTTTGCCTCAAGCTTGTCACTATCTGCATCTCTGACTTTGACATAAGAAATACAACCAAAAACTTTCAAGTGATTAAGAGATACCTCACGACCTTTCCATTCCTCTTCTGGAATTTTGAAACCAATGGGAGATGAGGGTCCTCTGTTGATCAAGTACGCTGCTGTGTTCACTGCATCGGCCCAGAACATCTTGGGAAGTCCTGCATGCAATCTCATGCTTCTGGCCCTCTCATTCAATGTTCTGTTCATCCTCTCTGCAACACCATTTTGCTGTGGTGTTTCTGGAACCGTCTTCAGCATTCTGATCCCCTGTTCAGCACAATACTCTACAAACTCTGTGCTACTATACTCACCCCCATTATCACTCTTTAAACACTTAATTTTGAGATTTGTTTCATTCTCAACTGCAGCTTTGAACTTCTTAAAAGTGTTAAAGACATCGGATTTATTTTTAAGAAAATAAACCCATACCTTCCGTGTAGAGTCATCAATGAATGTAACATAGTAGCGGGAACCTCCAATTGAAGAGACCTTTGTAGGTCCATAGACATCTGAATGAATCAACTCCAGTCGCTCAGTCTTGGGTTGCTGTCCTGTCTTCACAAAGGTTACCCTCTTTTGTTTGCCTAGAACACATGGCT